CCCCGCCCGCCGATACCGGTAGGGGATTTGGCTCCCCAGCCCCCCGGACCCTGCCCGGCCCCGCACACACCGAGCCGCGTTAGAGCATCCTCAGCCCCGTGTGCCCAGAGCGCGGCCGAGCCGGGAGCTCTGCCCGACGGACAACAGAGGGGGCGGTGGGAATCCCACTCGGAATGGGATGTTGAACCTGACAGCCAGGGCACACGTGGATACCAAACCGAACAGGAATGTGCCCGAGTGGCACATGCTGAGAGGATGACAGACCAGACTGGGGGTGTATTTTCTGTGATCCCACTATAAAACTGTCTCGGAGCTGTTTTTTGGGGTGGAGGCAGAGGAGGCAAAGCTGAGCAGCCCCTATTCAGCATGGCAAACCCAAGGCTGCTGAAAGCCCAGCACGGGGGTTGCCCCCCAGCACCTGCTTTTCAGGGCTGTTAAACCGGAGTGGGACTGTGACATGGCAGCCAGGGCTGAGCCAGCTCAGCAGGACCAGGACGAGGTCTGTGTAAAAGGGGATTAAGGCCTGGCTTTGGGCAGGGAGATAGAGAAGGACTATCCCGTAACTTGCGGCCTGTGCGTGCTCAGAGCAGCAGCATCCAAATCCCCACCCTGGGAGCTGGGCACCCGCAGTTCCAACATGGCACCAGGCATGGGCACCCTCCAATTGTCTGCCTGTGCCCACCTTCCTGCAAAGAAACTCACTGCACACCATCTGCTCACAGCTGTTCCTGCAGGAGGAAGTGGCTCAGTACACACAGAATATTGAAACACTCAAACACAAAAGCACTTAATTATCAAACTTTAATTCATAGGACTAATCTTACAGAATAAAACACCAGGATAACCAGTCAAGGTTACACTTAAAAAAATCCAGCAGTGCAAATCTAAGACTAAGTATTTGTCATCTCCTCCCACCCTCCCGAAATAGGCAATAGATTATTTAAAAATACCATAATACATGGTACTCACATATCCCATTTAAAATAAATCTGCAGTGGACACAAATATCTAAGACTTTTCTTAATATAAAACCAAAGAATTAATTGCTTTGAGTATGGATAAGACAGCGTGAACTTCCAAGAGCCACAAAAGGCAAATCCTTGGCTAGAAGGTGAAATGGCCACGTTCCATACAAGACTGGCTACAGCTCTCCTGGTCCTCTTCTCTCCCCAGTGACGAGGACATTAACAAACAAAACACAATGCCAACAGCCTCGTCTTAACTGGTGTGGAGAAGCTGGAGAAAAGAACTCAGGTTGAAAACAGCTCCATTGGAAAAAACAAGTTACAGAGGAAGAAAAGTAAACAAGGACGTCTGGAAACAATCCCTGTGGCACAGCACAGACAGGAGCAGGGAGTGCTGTGCCTGTGCCAGCGGCACTGGCAGGGTCAGGGACCACGGCCCTCAGGCACAGGCACGTGAGACAGACCCCAGAGTGGCACCTGGGCAGTGGCACAGCAGGGAATTGTTTCTCTTTGGCCCTTAGAGCACGGAGGAGCAGAGGACACTGACTGCAGCAGGTACAGGCTGGGCAGGAGTGTGTGTCACCGTCACAGCGTGGTGGTGGGAACAGTTCCTTATCTCCTTCCTTGAATCCAGACCACACTTCCATCACCAGAACATCCTGACTGTAGTTACACATTCCTTATCGGCGGCATTATTGGAAATTAACCATTCACATTAAACTCCGTATGAAACTGTGTGAGTAACATCAGCTCTTCAGGCACTCACAATCTCTGTTTGAACCCCAACCAGGCTGAGTGACCACTTCTGCATTCCCAACACAATGCTGATCCCAGGACTGCTTACACTTGGGATGCACAAATAGAGGACAGAACACTGAACTGGGACAAGGAGAGGAGAAAACTGCAGCGCTGGGCACAGGGAAGGGAAAGGGATGGCACACAGGTGAGTTGTGATGCTCAGTGCCACAGAGCAGGACAGGAACCTTGGGGACTGCCACAGGAGGGATCCCCACAGGGCAGCGAGGAGGGGACACTGCCCAGGCACTGGGAGCAACCACTGGTGCCAAACTGTGGCTGTGTCCTGCAGAAACCCACATTTGCCTCATGGATGTTTTGATCTGCAATTAGCACACCCAGAAATCACTTAATGCAACTTGCCATGGAATCATACCCTGAGATGCTCACAGGGAGTCACACCTACACATGGCAGGAACCAGTCACTGCCGAAAGCACCTTGTTAAGCTGTGATTTACCCAAAAATACACTCGAGTGCAGCTGTTTCCACAAACTTCCCACAGCAAATGATGCATTGGATCTCAGAACCATCTTTATCACCAGCTCTCAGCACCAAGTGTACTCACACTTTACTCACATGCCATGTCTCGCTGAGGACTGACCACCAAACTCCTCCCCGGGACCATTGGTTATGCTAAGTCTGCCCTGGGGACAGTCGCAGTGGCCAGAGAGTAGCACCCAAAGCCAAGAGAGAGGCTGACAGTGGCTGTGAGGCAACTGTGGCACTGCCCCACTAAAGACAGGATGTTTCCTAATGTCTAGAACTGCCTCGGAAAAATCAGTGTATGCCAGAACATGCAAAGCTCCACATCATTCCCAAAGAGAAAGGATCTTGGAAGCAGTGCTGCTTAGTTCAACTGGAATATTCATTTCAAAGAGCTCCCACAGAGTCTGGATATTGAGCCAACAAACACCAACTAGAGCGGTTTACATAAGTCACTTTCCTGTATTTTAATTCAAACTTTGCACATAGAACAAAAAAAAGTGAAACAATTTCATTTCTCCAATCAAATCCAACCTGAAAGGAAGCACCTGGACAGGATCACATTTTCTTAGTTCATAGCATTTTCTTCACATTTAAAACTGCTTTGCATGTAACAGAGAGGTTTGTACTCAGTTTCTTTTGAGATGCTGGGTTGTACCTGGCCCTGGAGACAGGAACTGTGCCCCGGGAAAGGAGCAACAGGAGTGTGACACCTGTCCTGTGCCCCAGGTGCCTCAGCAGAGGGGTCAGTACCTGCCCCCTTGGCACTCGCCCCATGGTTACTCACCCGTCGCTGTGTCCCGCACAGAAGCCACAGGAGCTGGGGAGCAGCTGGAACTCAGGCACATGCCCTCTCCAGGGGCAAGGGGATGAGGGAACAGGAGAGGAAAGAGAATATGAACAGATGCACAGATGGGGAGAGCAGAGGAAGGAGCGAGTGGGAGCTGATCGTCACAGAATCAGCAAGGTGGTGAGTGCCAAGGTGACCCCAGGTGACGCAACAAGCCAGTGTCACCCCTCTTCTTTACCCTGTAGCACCTACACTTTCCAGGAGTAAGGAATGGTAAATGTGAGCCTTAACACCAGGATGGCACCTAGGAAATCACAGGTGTGATGGCTGTAGCATTGTCACCAGCTAACTCAGACCAGGTCCCCTCTGCCCTTACTGCTCCAAGGGGAGGTGACAGCTCCTCAGGCCTGACCCTCTCTTGTCAGGATACACTGCTGCTGGCTTGTACACACAAAGGAAATACCTCAAGCTACAAGAGTAACAAGCACATCACTAGTTTCTATGCAGGATATGAAACACCTTTAAAATTCATATTGCATGGCTGTTCTAACCCAAAACACAAACCAAAAGCTGCTATCGAGAGGCTACAGGTAAATATGTGACCTTACACCTACCAGAAAGCCAATGCTTTTCCCAGTCTCTCTAGTGAATAAAAATAAATACTTATTTGGGAATTTGCACCTGCTGAGCTTCAACTGGGCTGTCTCAAGGAGAGCGAAAATGGACATGGAGTACATCAAGAACAGCTACCCCTAAAAGGCTGTTTCTCCTTGAGTTTGAGCTACTGGCATGGGCAGCAGAGAGCCCCAGCACTAACACACAGCAGGGACGTGTGAGCTGCTCCAGTCTGGCTGCACAGTGCCCCTGCTATGGGTGTGCAGCTGTCCAGGGCTGAGGGTTCCATTCAGAACTCCTGAAGGAAATGGCACATGGATGCTGGGATGACACACAGTGTCAGTTCAGACAGGATGAGGTGAGCTTCCTGTGAACTGGAGCAGGAGAAAAGCTGGGAGGTGAGTTACATTTCCAAACATCAGTTGCTGGATAGATAATCTAAATTTGGTACAATTCACTGAATTCAAGATCACTATAATTTCAAATCCAGGTCACAAGAGACTGCTGCAGTTACCGAGGATCCACAACAGCATCTGAGCTTCTCTCTTGCCCACCCTCCCACCTCAAACAGGGCAGGAGGGTCTCCGTGGCTCCCTCCCTTCGGGAGATCCATGTCGCTGTCACTCTGCTCACAGCAGGCAGCATCAGGGAGTTCCATCCATGTCCTTGTGTCACCCTGCTCACAGCAGGCAGCACGACAGCATTTCCAGTCCAACAGGTCAGTGTCATCACAGCAGCTGCAAAATGATTTTGGGCTGCAACATGATGAGCAAGAACATGCTCCCAAAATGCAACAGCCCCAGGCAGGAGGTGAACCCCTGACCTGGCACAGAGGGGACAGCAGGCAGCACTGGGTCACCTGCCACTGCAAAACATCCCTGGGGAATTCACCTGCTCCAAACATGCTACGGAGACCAACCCAGAGCTGCCAGTGCTGGGAGAAGGTAAGGAAAACTCCCAAATAAGCAGGGCATCTTTGGGCTAAAAGAAAGGACTAACTGTGCTCCCGAGGAGTGGAAGCTGCACTGGAGGGCTGGTGGGATATGGCTTCACCCAACAGCAACGCTGAGTACTGCTACAGTTTGTTCTTAGAAAACTGCTCTGAAAGGCTCAGTCACAGCCAAGTAACTAAATTAAGTCTAATGCTGATACAACTGAAAGATTATGAAAATATTTGGTTTTGTTCAAATCATGTAAAAAATCCTCAAGAAGACATCGTAATATTTCCTTTTTAAAACTAACCTGGAAGATCAACTCTCAGCAAATTTAAGTGTATTACACACGGCATTTTGTGAATTCAGATTTATTGATTTCCATTGTATTTGCTTTAAATATGGTCGAAGCTGACTGCAGAAAAGGGATGGTGAAATCTTTAAGTTAAAAGTAAACTAATGGTGAAAGAACATCACCTCTGGCTTCCATCCATGCCTCGTTCAGCATGTGTTATTAATAAGTTCCAGGACTGTCACATCCAGGGATGTTGGAGGCCTCTCCCAGCAGTGTCCTTAGCTTTGTGTCATTTTCCTGTGCCAGAGGTGAGCGTGCTTTCAAAAATACTGCCACTTCCCCAGCACCGTGTCTTTGATTGCATCCACATACTGAGTGGGCACCCAATACACCCAGTAGTAAGAGGCTTCTGTTGGGCCCAGCTGAAATGCCTGCAATTAAAAATGACAACATTTACACATGGGAACAAGCAGCTGGTCCCAGTGGACAGGCACAGCTCATCCACTGCCAAACCAGGCCAGTCTGTCCCACCTGCTGCTCCCTCAAGCCCTCGGTGCACACACAGCTCTTGGGTAGGCAATGAGAAGAGTATTCCAGAGGAACAAGAGCTGCAGAGCATTGATAAAAGGATGAGCTCTTCCTTTTTACAGCAGCAACCAAAACTCCTGGCCAGCTTCAAGAACATGAGGGAATTATTGTGGAAGGCAATCTAAAGCATAACTCAGAGTCTCTAAAGGAATGACAGAGCTGAGAAGCCAAACAGGAACTGAACAGACAATGACCATGTTTTTGTGGTCACAATATTTCACAGAATTTTACATTTAGACATAATATCCTAGTCTCAACTTATCTCCTGTGCCCAGGAGAGGGCGACCATGCTATGCCACAACCTCTGTCCTAGCTGCGGGAAAGGTTTATCACAACATGTGCTGAAGCGGAGATTTTCTCACATAGGTGGTCAAAAATCAAGTGTTTGCACAGCCTAGAACAGGACCCTCCTGCAGGCAATGATTTTAAGGTTAATACATTTCCCTTTTCTCCCTCTAAAGGAGGAAACAGACTTCTTACTGAAAAGAAACTCAGTCCAACATCAAAAGTTAGTTACTGTGCTTTGGACAGCAAGATCTCAAATAGCCCATGGACTAAAAAATTGGCCCAAAATGCAGTATATTAGCACAGCTCTTCTGAAATGTTATGTTGCTAGACCAATTGTTCAGAAAATTACAGGTGTGAAAATATCACAGCATCAAATCTCTTTTTTTTAGCCTCCAGCAAGGCCTGTTGTTTCTACAAACACCACAGTCACTAGAAATCAAACCAAGTAACAGAAAATATCACTAACACGTAGAAATCATGAGCAAGGCTGTATTTTGTCTGGTTTAAAACTGCCACAGCCAGAAGGTACTAAATAATGCTTAAGCACTTCATGTTTGTGTGAAACCAGCCCAGATTTCCACACAGCAGATGCTCAATGTGGGCCCAAAGCACTGACACTGTGACAGCAGCCCATGTGCCCATTCCCATGGGACTGGTACCACCATCCACCTCCAGCCTGCTCCGACCTGCAGCCTCACCACTGTGCATCGCATCAGGGAATTAGATGGATATGATGAAAGTAGAGCTGTTACTCACCATCATGTGATAATCCTCATGGCCTTCAATAGGTTCACTCACCACATTTTTAATGGACCCCATGGGTAACTTTTCTGTTCTCTCTACATTGAAATGATCACAGCATTATTTCTGACCCTGAGGAAGCAGCATTTCATGTTAATTTCATACAGCACCTCCACTAATGACTCTCAGGTCAGCAGGCTCCTCTCTGGGTGAGCTGGGGATACCTGCTGCCCAGGAGCACAGTGGCTGCAGCACCACACACCCACCCTGGCACACTGACAGGGGGAAGGGACCCAGAACTGGATCACACAGTTCCTCTGCATCACACAAAGTACTTCAGTGCTCTGGGTTTGGGCCTGGACTGAGTGATGGGAAGACCCAAGGTGTACTTAATGTTTCCCCATAAGGAGCAGCAGGATTGCACATCCCAGTGGATCCTAGTCCAGGTGTGAGAATATTCAGGACTGACTACCAAGGATTACACTAACCTCCACAGAAACAGCAAGGTGAGGATAGGCTGAGCTAACCCTGAAAGCCTAGGCCTGGCTTTACCCTGAGGAGTGTTCAGAGAAGCACAGGAAAGGGAACATAAATAATAGCAAACAACATTTATAAATAGGGAAGGAAACAGAGAAACTGAAATCCTCAAAAGACAACAGTTACATGGCAGAGCCATGTCACCCAGCCAGAGGCAATGGTCCATAGCAGAGTTTTCCTGTCAGATCTGTCCTCATTTCTTTCTGAAGATTTAATTTCAAGATCCTGCCTTTCAGTTCCAGCTTTCAGCATCAGCCTAGAATTATCTTCTTAGATACAAGACCCAAACCACTCTACAAAGGAGAAACTGAACACTGAGCTCTAATTAATTTGTATGATCCAAAACAAAAGCACCTATCAAAAAAAAAGGCACCCAGGGAAATCAGGGACTCCTGACTTCATACACGGAGGAAAACTCACTTTGTCCTTGTTTAGCATCCCCCAAATCCATTACTGCCCAGAGTGTCTCAGCAATAGACAAACCCACATTATCAATGCCTCTGTGGAATTGACACAGAGCAATTGGGAAACATCTGCCTATAGCAAATCTCAGACTACACAACCTACACAGACACCTTGTGAGGCCCAGAGAGGCTGCAGCGAGGGAAGGAGCAGTTCCAACTTCCCAGGACCAGCAAGGGAGAAGCTGTGTGAACACCCAGATGGGTTTGCTCCAGCCCTTATGCTGGCCTCTGCCATGAGCTTCCCAGAGCAGGAAGGAGTTTTTCCCAGCAACAGCCAACAATTACAGCCATTCCCTAGAGGTAACAAGCTGCTGCTAATTTGGGGAAGTAAGGGAACAGGTTACAGGAAAGACAGATGACTACAAGAAGAATCAAATTTCACAGCCTAAGGAACACTCATCCAGAACACCTCGGAAACACTAAACTTGAAACCCATCTGGAAGGTGAAGGAAGAGATTAATCACCTAAATAACAAGCTTGGATTTAGAACATGGATCAGTAACAGAGATCTGCCTGCCCAACCTAGAGAGGAAAAACACCCCCCAATCCTCACTCCATCACTTGGCCCAGGACAGAAATCACTGCAACTGAGACCGAGAGAGGTTTTAACGCCAGGAAAATCTTCACAGTCAAGTCTGTCCTACGCACGAAAGGTCAAAAACATCCAAGATTTCTGCTTACTATAGAAACAACACAGTAGCTGGAGGTGGATCCACAGCTAACATTACCATCCACAGCTAACATTACCATCCAATTAGGCTATTCACTGGGGCAGTGAACAAGCACTTCTGTTCCTCTTGCTCACCACTGCACACTGCTCATCCTGCTCAAACTGAAGGAGCACAGCTCCCTGGGGAGGCAGGGGGTATCCCAGTGTCCCATCTAACCCCAGCTGGCAAGTAAGCACTACACTGCCACTCACTCCCTCTACCCTGCTGGGATGGGAGTTGGGAAAAGAATGTAAAAAAACTCATGGTTGAAGTAAGAACAGTTTTGAAACAAAGTAAAATATGCTACTATTGATAATATTAATAGTAATTAAATAAAATCAAAGAAAGGCCAGAGACCAGTGCTGCCTAGCACAGCTGCTCTCCATGTGCTGAGTGATGCCCAGCCTGTTCCCTAGCAGTGACCAGCCCTTCCCAGTCAACTCCCCAGTTTATACTGGACATGATGCTCTGCAGCGTGGAATACTCCTTTGGACAGCTTGTATCAGCTGTCCTGGCCCTGCTCCCTTCCAGCTCCCTGGACACCCCCTCACAGGCAGAGATACTGAAAGTCCTTGACTGAGGGTAAACACTGCACAGCCACAAACAAAATATCAGCTGTTATCAGCATTAGTCCCATCCTGAATGCAAACTGGGAAGAAAACTAGCTCTATCCCAGCCAAAACCAGGGCAGACATCAACAGCAGGGCACATGAGCTCCACAGCACTCCCAGCTCCTCCTGGCACCACTCAGACCACAACCAACCCCTGTGTACAGCACCACAGCTGAGCACCACTGAGACAAGACACCCAAGCAATGTTGGCTGGAAGGACAGAGTGCCAGAGATATCAGCACTCCAGTTCTGAGATTCCCCTCCAAGTCTTGGCCAGGTCACTGAGCCTCTGTGTGCTGTTGGCATCAAATCCACGTTCAGGGAGTGCTTTTGGGTCATGCCAGAAATGCCAAACATCATCATTTACATTTGGAGCCAGGAACAGCAAGCACATCAGGCCATTGGCCTGCTGGCACCACTGCACTCTGGTTTTTCAGGAACAGAGGAGGAATATCAAGTAGTATTCAATGACCAGGGGAAATGGCACACGAAAAGAAGCAAAGTTCCACTCTGAAGCTCTGCAATACCAACATCATTCCCTGAATGTGACTTAGTCACAGCAGAGGCTTTTCTAGGTCACAGAATGCAGTCACAGCCCAAGTAGCAACGGTTCACCCCCGAGTCTGAGAGCTGCTCACCTTTTGTACCAATCCACAGCTGGTCTTGCTCGAGCTTGAAGGTCAACCTGACCTTTCCCCCTGACTTGTTGTACATGCCGGACAGTGGCACTGTGGGCAGTCGCTCCTGCAACGAGACACACTCAGTCATCACAAGAGCTGGGACAGGAAGCTGCATTCCGTGAGCTTAAAAGAGAACCATCCACATTTCCAGCTGTCTGCTGAGACAGCAAATAACAACTGAACCAGCAGAGAAAGGTCTCACACCGCAGAGGTCTCTGTGATGTTGTCTCCAGCTCTCACTCACGCACCTGCACACCTTTGACCGAAGGCATCACATCGTCAGGTTTTCCTTTGTCCAAAACTTTTCTGTGTTGCTACAAGACAAAAGCGGAAACTGAATTTACAGAAACACAACAGAGCTTTGCAATTTACTTCCAGCTGCTCCCCTGACCATATCCGAGTGGCACTGAGAGACACTTAAGGGCTGTTCACAGGTATTCATCACACAGGAAACAGTTCATTTTCAAACTTAATTGAGCACCTTCTAAGGTAATCTAATGATGCTGCAAAAATGAAGAGCAGTCCAACACAATGCCAAGGGTAACAGCCCTTATAGAATATATAAATA